GTGCACCTTAGTAGATGTGCTTGGTATTATACTTGCCTCAGTCTAGGGGGCCAGAGGCCCCCTAGACTGTACTCTGTGTGTGGTCTTCTTTGCTCTTGATTTTGCACTTGGTGAGGTTGAACTCCAGGAACCAATTACTGGACCTGGCCTGCAGCCTGTCCAGATCCCTTTGTAGTCCTGTCTGATCCTCCTTGCATATTGTTGTCACATGTTCCATCGTTTCATTTACTGATCTGCCAGTTCTCTGTCCCACTGAACCTTGTGTAGGAAATTCCTCATGCCTGTGTAGTCCCCTCTTTTGCAGTTTGGCTTCATTTGTCCTGCCCTTCCTGCTTCCCTCTCCACTTTTACCTACTATGTATTCGAAGCTCAGAACCACGTGGTCACTAGCTCTGAAGGGTCTTTCATATGAGATGTCCTCAATATCTGCACTACTCAAAGTGAATACTAGGTCCAATCTTGCCGGTTCATCCTCTCCTCTTTCTCTGGTAGTGTCCCTTAAGTGTTGATGCATAGGTTTTCCAGTACCACCTCTGTCATCTTAGCCCTCCACGTTTCTGGGCCCCCATGTGGTTACAGGTTGTGTGTACTCACCTATTTGTGGTTGCAGGGGTCGATTCATAGCTCTTGGCCCTGACTCTTCACTGATCACTACTAGGTCCTCTGCTCTATGAGTTATGTGTGTGTGTACTCACCTAATTGTGGTTGCAGGGGTTGAGACTCAGCTCCTGGCCCTGCCTCTCCACTGATCGTTACTGGGTCCTCCCTCTCCCTGCTTCATGAGCTTTATCATACCTCGTCCTAAAACTATGTATGGTTCCTGCCTCCACTACATCACTTGCCAGACTATTCCACTTCCTGACAACTGAAGAAATACTAACATCCCTTTGACTCATCTGAATCTTCGACTTCCAATTGTGACCCCTTATTTCTGTGTCCCATCTCTGGAACATTCTGTCTCAATCCACCTTATCTATTCCACTCAGTATTTTGTATGTCGTTATCATGTCTCCCCTGACCCTCCTGTCCTCCAGTGTCGTCAGACTGACCATGTGTGTGTACTCACCTAGTTGTGGTTGCAGGTGGTCAAGTCATAGCTCCTGGCTCTGCCTCTTCACTGGCTGCTACTTGGTCACTCTCCCTGCGCCATGAGCTTTATCATACCTCTTTTTAAAGCTATGAATGGATCCTGCCTCCACTACATTGCTTCCCAAACTATTCCACTTCCTGATTACTCTGTGACTGAAGAAATACTTCCTAACATCCCTGTGATTCATCTGAGTCTTCAACTTCCAATTATGTCCCCTTGTTGCTGTGTCCCATTTCTGGAACATTCTGTCTCTGTTCACCTTCTCAATTCCTCTCTGTATTTTATGTTGTTATCATGTCCCCCCTATCTCTCCTGTCCTCCAGTGTTGTCAGGTCGATTTCCCTTAACCTCTCCTCGTAGGACATACCCCTTAGCTCTGGGACTAGTCTCGTTGCAAACCTTTACGTGCTTGGCTAGGTGTGGGTTCCAAACTGGTGCTGCATACTCCAATATGGGCCTAACGTAGACAGTGTACAGGGTCCTGAACGATTCCTTATTAACATGGCGGAATGATGTTCTTAGACTTGTTAGGCACCCATGTGCTGCATCAGTTATTTGGTTGATATCCACCTCAGGAGATGTGCCTGTTGGTATACTCACCCCAAGATCTTTTTCCTTGAGTGAAGTTTGTAGTCTCTGGCCCCGTAGACTGTACTCCATCTGCAGTCTTCTTTGCCTTTCCCCAATCTTCATGACTTTGCACTTGGTGGAGTTGAACTCCAGGAGCCAATTGCTGGACCAGGCCTGCAGTTTGTCCAGATCCCTTTGTAGTTCTGCTTGGTCCTCGTCCAATTGAATTCTTCTCATCAACTTCACATCATCTGCAAACAGGGACACTTCAGAGTTTATCCCTTTCATCATGTTGTTCACAAATACCAGAAACAGCATCGGTCCTAGGACTAACCCCTGTGGAACCCCACTCGTCACAGGTGCCCACTCTTGTACGTGTCAAACGCCTTCTTACAGTCCAAGAAAATGCAATCTACCCCCCCCTTCCTCTCTCTCTCTCTTGTCTTACTGCTGTCACCCTGTCATAGAACTCCAGTAGGTTTGTGACACAGGATTTCCCATCCCTGAAACCATGTTGGCTGTTGTTGTTAAGCTCATTCCTTGCTATGTCTTCCGCCACTCTTCTGATAATCTTCTCCATGACTTTGCATACTATACATGTCAGTGACACTGGTCTGTGGTTTAGTGCTTCATGTCTGTCTCCTTTTTTAAAAATTGGGATCACATTTTGCTGTCTTCCATGCCTCAGGTAATCTCTCTCTTTCGATAGATGTGTTGAATATTGTTGTTAAGGGTGCACATAGAGCCTCTGCTTCCTCTCTCAGGACCCATGGAGAGATGTTATCCGGCCCCATTGCCTTTGAGGTATCTAGCTCACTCAGCAGCCTCTTCTTTTCTTCCTCGGTTGTATGTATTGTGTCCAACACTTGGTGGTGTACCCCACCTCTGCTTCTTTCTGGAGTCCCTTCTGTCTCCTTTCTGAACACTTCTTTGAATCTCTTGTTGAGTTCCTCACATACTTTGTGGTCGTTTCTTGTGATCTCTCCTCCTTCCTTCCTTAGTCTGATTATCTGGTCCTTGACTGTTGTTTTCCTTTTGATGTGGCTGTATAACAGCTTTGGGTCAGATTTGGCTTTCACTGCCATGTCATTTTCATATTGTCGTTGGGCCTCCCTTCTTACCTGTGCATATTCATTTCTGGCTTTACGACTGCTCTCCTTATTCTCCTGGGTCCTTTGCCTAGCACACTTGGTTTTGGCCTCCCTTCACCTTTAGGTGAACCGCAGGCTCATCCTGGCTTTTTCATTATTCCTGTTACCCGTGGGTACAAACCTTTCCTTAGCTTCCTTGCATATAGTCACATATTCCATTATCTCGTTTACTGACTTCCCTGCCAATTCTCTGTCCCACTGAACCCCGTTCAGGAAGTTCTTCATTCCTGCGTAGTCCCCTTTCTTGTTTGGATTAATTCATCTGGCCCTTCCTGCTTCCCCTTCCACTTGTAACTCTATTGCGTATTTAAAGCTTAAAACCACATGATCGCTATCCCCAAGGGGTCTTTCATATGTGATGTCCTCAATATCTGCACTACTCAAAGTGAATACTAGGTCCAGTCTCGCTAGTTCATCCTCTCCTCTCTCTCTGGTTGTGTCCCTTACGTGTTGGTACATGAAGTTTTATAGTACGACCTCCATCATCTTAGCCCTCCACATTTCTTGGCCCTCATGTGGCTCCAAGTTCTCTAAATCGATTTCCTTGTGGTTGAAGTCACCCATGATCAGCAGTTTTGCCCTGCTCGCATGAGCCCTTCTGGCCACTCCAGCCAGTGTGTCAACCATTTATTTATTTATTTATTTATTTGAATATGATACAGTGAAGTACAAAGTTATTACAGTGCAGCATGCCAAAGCCCCTTGTATGCAGAGCATTATGAGCAGGCTTAAAATTAACTTAAGATTAACTAAGCAATGATATATTCAGTGGTAAATACAGTATTGTAAAAAGATAACAATTTAGCACAAATGAGTATTACAAAGACAGGTCATTTGGTCATTTACTGTGTTGCTGAGCATTCAGTAGATTGGAGTATTCTGTTAGGTTATGTAATTAAAAAATAAAGTTTGATTGGGTTACAGGTTAGACATTTATGAGATACAATACAATTGACTTTGTCAATGGTCCAAGTCGGACCGAAACGTCGTCGTAAGCTTCTCTCTTTTATGTGCGGGTTATTTGTGTATGAGAAACATTTACATAATACTCTTGCCTTGGCCTCCTGCTGTGTGTGTACGTGTGTTCTCACCTAATTGTACTCACCTAATTGTGGGTGCAGGGGTCGATACTCAGCTCCTGGCCCTGCCTCTTCACTGAATGCTACTAGGTCCTCTCTCTCCCTGCTCCATGAGCTTTATCATACCTCATCTTAAAGCTATATATAGTTCCTGCCTCCACTACCTCACTTCCTAGACTATTCCACTTCCTGACTACTCTATGACTGAAGAAATACTTTCTGACATCCCTTTGACTCATCTGAGTCTTCAAACTTCCAATTGTAACCCCTTGTTTCTGTGTCCCCTCTCTGGAACATCCTGTCTTTGTCCACCTTGTCTATTCCATGCAGTATTTTGTATGTTGTTATCATGTCTCCCCTAACCCTCCTGTCCTCCAGTGTCGTCAGGCCGATTTCCCTTAACCTTTCTTCGTAGGACATTCCCCTTAGCTCTGGAACTAACCTTGTCGCAAACCTTTGTACTTTCTCTAATTTCTTGACGTGCTTGATCAAGTGTGGGATCCAAACAGGTGCTGCATACTCCAACATGAGCCTGACGTACACGGTGTACAGTGTCTCGAACGATTCCTTACCAAGATATCGGAACGCTATTCTTAGGTTTGCCAGGCGCCCATATGCTGCAGCAGTTATCTGGTTGATGTGTGCTTCCGGAGACATGCTCGGTGTTATGGTCACCCCAAGATCTTTCTCCTTGAGCGAGGTTTGCAGTCTTTGGCCACCTAGCCTATACTCCGTCTGCGGTCTTCTTTGCCCTTCCCCGATCTTCATGACTTTGCATTTGGCGGGGTTAAATTCGAGAAGCCAGTTGCTGGACCAGGTGTCCAGCGTGTGTGTGTACTCACCTAGTTAAGGTTGCAGGGGTCGATTCCTAGCTCCTGGCCCCGTGTGTGTGTGTATGTGTGTGTGTGTGTGTGTGTGTGTGTGTGTGTGTGTGTGTGTGTGTGTGTGTGTGTGTGTGTGCGCGTGTACGAGTGTACTTTCATGTTTGTCCGTTCCACGATGAGCGGTGAGATAGTCGAGACAATAGTGGGAGGATCCTTGGTGGTGGTTGTAGTGCTGCTTATAAGAGAACCACCACTGCCACTATCTCTAGACCTATTCTGACCTCACCAGACATTGCTACACCTCCACAAACTCTTTGTCATATTTCTGCACACCCTCCTAGACTTCCGAATCCCCTGGCCCTGTTGAGAGTTTATTTTCGAGTATGATACTACTGCTACTACTACTAATAATACTACTATAACAGATCTTGTCAGACATCAACAAGCCTTGTCATATCTTTTCAAACTTATTCATACACTGTTAGAAGTTTCCAAGGCTCTAAAAGATCTTTCGGCATCCTCGGGAAACTTTCTCAACGCTCTCTTATACCTTTCCATATTCAGTACTCAGGTGGTTTAGTGCTTAGTTTTGATAATAATATTCCATATTCAGTTAGATTTTTACTAGCTCAGGGTGGTCCTTTCCAAACTCTGTCAGGTTTCTGCAGGTCTCCGCACTCTGTAAACCCCTTCCCCATTTATATTCTCCAGACCGTTCAGGAAGGCCTCTACAGGCTCTCTTAAACCATTTTTGTATACTAGTGCTACAGGCTGTAGGTGTATCCAGATATTATCAGACCTTACTATACCGTAGGCTTTCCATCATACTGTTTATATATACACATGATATACAGTGACAAAATTTTCGTGATATATATCTTACATAAGATTTTTTAACATTTTGTTGTTAACGCAGACAAAGAAAATGGAAGTTTTTTTGAAAGTGTAAATATTGGCAGTGTGAAGGGTAAATGTTTATATTTTGACAAGCAGGTAGATGTGACAGTGTGGTGAGTGTTGGAATACATACATAGCGAGCGAGTGTGTTGAAAAGGACGCTTGTGTACAGCTCAAGATATTTATGAAATGAAACTTTTAGCACGCGTGGTTTCATCAGGACTGACGAAGCCACTAGTGGCGAAACGTTTCCCTTAATAAATGTCCTAAACTATACACGTGTCCTTTTCCACAGACTGTCAGTATCACTATACTATTTACAACCGTGTGTGTGTTGGCGGCGACAGAGGTTCTTGTGTTGGTGCTGCAGAACCGTCAGTGGGGGTGTAGTAGTGTTGGTGATGGTGGGGTGCCTTAAGGCTTCGTCACCACCTCCCCCACCCCGTGAGAGGGAGAACCCTCCTGTACCAGGAATTCACCTGAGGGGACTGAGTGTCACCATCGCCCGGGCCCCTGCTCTGGGCTTCACCCTACTTCATTCACAGCAGGAGGGGTGCACCCCCACAGAGAAGGAGACAGGCTATCCCAGGACTCCCCCCGCCCTACAAGAGCGCCCCCAGGGTCACACAGATCTTGCCAGGGCTTCCTCCAGACAAGAATACAAGGAGTACGTGGATGGAAAGTTCCACAGGTATGATGATCGCTCCCAAGAGTGTGTGGAGGCTGGCAGGGAGAACCCGGAGGCTGCGAGGACATGCCAGGGGACGGTTCCGTACCAAGAGGAGCACCATCAGAAGCCTCTCTGGTACCTAACCCGCACTACTGCCACTATACTTCTTATTCAAGGAATCTTCATCACGCTCTTCACCTACTATGTCAGGTAACTATTTTAAGGTCACTTAAACATTATAAAAAACTAAGGGCAGTGAGTTGAATTATTTTCTGAAGTTTTTGTTATTATGATGACAGGCATAAATTTTGTTATTTAAGGCACATACGAACACATATATGCTGTATGTATTTACTTACGAACCATCTGGACAATTAGGTCCATAGGAGTTCATATACAAATTAGTTGTTTCAGTCGCTGCGCGACCCTAGTCGGGTATCTTCGTATAGTCACGGTCTTCTTTACCTCAACTCACGCAAAAACGATCGGTAAAAGGTGCAGCTAAATACAAAAAATAGGTAAACTTTTACGGCTGCGAGATCGGAGAAAGATGTAGCTCCTCGACCTGGTGGGCCATGGGTTCCCCTGGCCTGGTGGGCCTTGGATCCCCCAGCTTGGTCATGGACTGGGCCGCGGGGGCGTTAACCCCCGAAACACCCTTGGGTATCATGCGCTGTATAACCCTTGTGGTTTAGCGCTTCTTTTTGATTATAATAATAATAATAATCGGGTATCACATAACTCCAGCTTTCAGTACCTCAACCCACGGCAGAGACAGAAATTATACCTCAAAATACTTAACAGGCAATGCACACACAAGAAAAGTATACTTACCAGATTATGTAAAAATTCTATAATAATAATAATAGTAATAATAATAATAATAATAATAATAATAATAATAATATAATATTATTATTATTATTATTATTATTATTATTATTATTATTATATCAAAATGTATTTCGGTAGCTACGCAATCCAGTAAAGGTATCCTCGTGTTGCCACTGTAACCAGAGAGAAGATCGACACCATGCCCAGCCCTTCTAGGGCAGGGTAGGTGCCTGAGCAGCTTGCAGCTCACAACACTGCCATTCCCATTAGCCCCCCTGGGGCGAGGATGGCAGACCAGAGAGGCCTAGCTTCTCCCTACGAGCCCCGTGAGGGCGGAGAATGTGACTAGGCCTGGGGACAATTTGTCCCAACGATGAGGGGGTACTTGTGCCTCCTCCCATGGGAGACTTTGGTCTCAGACACTCCCTTGAGAGGGAGTCAAGGCCGGGTCACCATCTGGAAAAGACCCGGGCCGGGAGAATACCGGCGAATCAACAACAACAACAGCAACTGTATCCAGAATGCACGTGATTGGAATAGTGCAGAGTGCGACATAACTTTGTAATGCAGTTATAAATTCGAAGGTTTGATGCGATTGAAAAGAAACTTTCATAATATACAAATAACCCGCACATATGAGAGAGAATTGCTTAAGCATTCACAAGTTATGAAACGGAAAATAATTTCTGCAATAGAAAACAGATTCAGACCTTCCACTAGAGAGCACCAGATTTGAAAGTTTAAAGTCATTCTGAAAAAGCGTTTTCTAGGTATCACACATCATATACACCAACACTTGAACTCTGAACCCTCTCGGAAGCTGCATTATCATTATGGAGTTTGGAAGATACGTAAATGAGGCTTTCACAAATTATCACATGAAAATCCGTATTTCCATTTTCTCACTTCATGGAAAATGGCAATTTTTGTTTGTTTATTCGCCGGTATTCTCCCGGCCCGGGTCTTTTCCAAGTAGTGGTGACCCGGCCTTGGCTCCCTATCTGGGGAGTGTCTCGAGACTTAAATCTCCCATGGGAGGAGGCACAAGTACCCCCTCGTCTTTGGGACCAACTGTCCCTAGGCCTAGCCACATTCCCCGCCCTCACGGGGCTCGTAGGGAGAAGCTAGGCCTCTGGTCTGCCAGCTACCCCGCCCTAAAAGGGCTCGTGGGGATGGCAGTCTTATGAGCTGCAGATGGTAGCAAGCTCAGGCTATCTTTTAAATGGCAAATTTATCTTTCTGTAAGATTCACCAGTATTTAATGTTAAAAATCGATCACAAGAGACATTTATGTTATTTCACATATACCAGTTTGTTTTAAAAAAATACCAGATTAAATGTTACACAACCCAAAATCAGTCAGAAACTTTGTTTGAGGAAAAAAATATAACCAGTGAAAGTTTGAAGCCGTCGAAGAGATATCTTTATTTACTACAAGTACATGTAATACATAAAGATATGATTATTATATTATTATTTGATAAAACTAGTAAATTATAGTTAACACAGTTCAGATTGAATGCCAAGTTTTATTTTAATAAATTCCTCAAATAGGGCTGTGGTCTGTACGTCAGTATGCGTGCGGCCAGCAGTAATAGCCTGGTTGATCAGACCCTGATCCACCACATACAGTATAATAACCTATGTGACATGTCAAGATATCTTATTAAGGAAAAAATACCAGACATACTAAGCAAATTTCCTAAATTTGCTTGTAACAGATAAGTGAACTGTAGATATGTAGATATGAATCCATATGTATTCCTGTTAACTCTTTTGGGGCCTAGTTCCTGGGCCTTTTGTGTATCCATATGCTCTCGCGCTACCGTCCACAGGATGGATATGGGGTGCACAATAAACTAGCCACTTCGGTGGCAAAATCTAAATCTAATCTAATCTGGTCCACAACGAAGCCTGGTCTCAAACCGAACCGCGGGGGCGTTGACCCTCGTAACCCTTTCTCCAGGTATACTCCAGGTAATAGAAGGTTTGAAGCCTATCAAAAGAGGCATTCACTATGAATTGCTATGAATCCAGTGATTTCATGTTTTGTTAATGTTAGTAAACGCACCCAGCTGGTGGGTGAATGTGACGCATCCAGCTGGTGGGTGAGTGTGACGTATCCAGCTAGTGGGTGTGACGCACCCAGCTGGTGGGTGTGTGTGACGCATCCAGCTGGTGGGTGTGTAACGCACCCAGCTGGTGGGTGAGTGTGACGCACCCAGCTGGTGGGTGAGTGACGCACCCAGCTGGTGGGCGAGTGTGACGCACCCAGCTGGTGGGTGAGTGACGCACCCAGCTGATGGGCGAGTGTGACGCATCCAGCTGGTGGGTGAATGTGACGCATCCAGCTGGTGGGTGAGTGTGACGCACCCAGCTGGTGGGTGAGTGTGACACACCCAGCTGGTGGGTGAGTGTGGCGCACCCAGCTGGTGGGTGAATGTGACGCACCCAGCTGGTGGGTGAGTGTGACGCACCCAGCTGGTGGATGAGTGTGATGGGTGCGTCACACTCAACTGGTGACGCTGAATATCTTGGTGTATTAAGTTTAAAACCTGTCGACTACACGAGGGTCATTAAGGCTGCATGTCACCTTCACACCATCAGTCAAGGTTATGAGAATTCTAAAAGTCATTAAAATTAACTCACTGTATATACACAGATGTATACACCTCTCGGTGTATATACACTAAGTGATACACACCTCTCCATGTATATTAACTTGCCAACCTCAAGTAACACCCCCCCCCCTTCCCCCCACACATGTATTGAAACATAAGGGCGTTGTCTTGGTAAGCTGTCTTGCACATTACAATGGTTTGAAAATAGCTTTTCTTTGTTTCCTCCTGAACATGACCTTAGACCCCTAGAAGCGCCACTGATCGCTGCCACCAACTCCGTGAAACTGATACTTGAACTTAGCTGGCTGGCGAGTCAGTAGAGAAGAAACACAACTGATTTTTTTTTTTTTTTTTGCCAAAGTCATGCAGCTCGTCGAATGTATGGCTGGCCAGCTCAGTACTCTCCGGCTGTGGAAGAAACAAACACAGTGGTCACCATCAAGGCTAGTGGTTCACTAACTTTAAGTTTACTTGAACATTAAAAAGCAACGTTCTACAAGTCAAGTGAGAGTTGCAAAAATAATAGATTCCAGTAATTACATAGAGGAACTAATAATTACAATAACCAGAGAGCCAAGCAGTCCAGTGACCCATTTATGATTCTCAGTCCCAAATATCACCACACTGCACTTTGAGGTAGTAGGTGATATGTAAAAGTGTGTCAACACAGTTATAAGCACATAAAATAGTCATATGCATCAACTTTTAATTCACATCTTACACTGGTCTACATTAAACAGCATCTGTCACTTCTCCGGCCACAATATCATCCTATCATTAAAATGATGAGGACTTAGACACATTTGCAACACCGGGGTATCTTGGAAGATGTTTTGCCAACTGGTGGTTTTATCAATACAGACAAGATTTGTGAAAACAGAGGAAGATGAGGTAATAAGTCCCTCAGCCTACGAGCAGGTGTTTAACACCTACCTTGATGAATCTGAAGCATAGGATGGAAGATGACCTCTTATATACTGGAGTCAGACGAAGTGCTGCAGCTGAAGTCACATCACAAATAGGAGGGATCCACCGCTGTAAGTAGACCATGCCCAAGAGATGGCCCAGAGCTTAGCAAATATATTTTAGAATATATCCCCTGTACCACCATTCTATGGTGTTGAGCTGTATAGTCCTTGTGGCTTAGCGCTTCTTTTTGATTATAATAATAATCTATGGTGTTGATGTCAGATAGCAACACCGATCGACTTCAAATTTTCAACACTTGTGAACGATTGCTAGGTGAAGGTTCTTAAGACAATTGACAAATACATGTGTCCCTCTGCTTAATTTCAAATAGATCATCTCTGAAACTGTTTTCCATGCAATAATTTTAGGAAGCGTTTTTGATCAGCTTCAAAATTTCAGTATTCTCTGTATCCTATTTAGAGAAATGTGGAATTATTAATGGAGTGTGTAGGTGCCATTTTACCACTAATATTCTCTAAATGGTCTAGTAATATTTAGGATTATATAACTGGATTGTTCTTCCCGAGGGGGGTGCCTTGATGTTTATGAGGAACTTATGATCCAATGAGCTGGATTTATCCTTCTTTTGCTTGGATTGAATCTGAGCTCTTCCCGTTTTACAGTCGCTGTATAACCCCTACGAGCTTAGCACTTTCCTTTGATTTAAATGAAACGCTATCATCAATCTTTAATAACTGACTGGATGAAATTTCTGGGGGGTAAAGGCTGTGTATGGGCAAATTTTGTCGGATTTCGTGCTATTACTGAAGAATGAATCTTCTGCTCGTCTTCAAACTTTTAGTCTCGATGTGTTTTCCCTCAAAGGAAACTTTGCCTCGACTTCAAGTTGTCATAGTTTTAATATACATATTTTAATAATCAAATTTTTTTTTTTGTGAAATAACTGGAGACTGCGTCTTGTGATCACAAATAAATAATTTTATCGACTTATCCAGGAAAAATTTGCTTTTTGTTCTTTTATGTAACCATAACATCTGTGCTCCCTCTACCCATATGTAAGAAATGACATGTTGTGAATCCATGGATTCCCCTCAAGGAAGGTTCCTTGATGTTGGTGAGGGGCTCTTGATTTAGGAAATTGGATCTGTGCTCCGGTTCCCCGAATTAAGCCTGAATGCCTTCCACATCCCCCCCCCCCACGCGCTGTATAATCCTCCGGGTTTAGCGCTTCCCCTTGATTATAATAATAATAATGTGAATCCATGGGTTAAATAAGACATACTTATTTACTTATATACATATGTACTTAAACTTTAAACGCTGATCAATTAAACTTACAGAAAACTTTGGAGTAATTTTGATCTGTGTATGTCCTCATTTTTTTTCTGTGAAAAAAACTGCGAAAATTGAAATACTGACTTTAGTGCTTTGCATAGCCAATTATTTTTTATTTATATAATATATCAATGATGTATCATGTACTTGTAGAAATTATTATTGTTTATTGCAAGCAATTAGAATAGGGAATCAGAGATAATTTAAACTTGTTGTAGCCTTATATATGTAGGCTTTCTTGTTGATCTACTAAACAATAATATTTAATTTGTATGTAATAGGGACATCTGTATGGTATTGATCTTTAATAAATTTTAATTATAACGTTATCACATCCAATGGCTATTAAATGCAAGTAGCATATTTGACCGGCAGTATGGAGGACGCAGTTGTAGTCACATGACAACAAACTATAGTATTCCTGATGGCAGGTATGGTGAGCTGGCGGACGCCTCGCATGAAGGAAACAACGTTCATCCCATCCTTGGTGGTAACTATTCTGAAGAGAACCCAGGAACTCTACTTCATCACCGTCAGTATCTCCCTTTTCTTGTTCTCTCCTTCGCTCTGTACAAAAAAAAATGTTTTTTTTTTAAATAGTAATGCCACTGCATCAGTCAATACATCAATAGGAAGCCCATTTATCTCGCGTTCAGTAAATGGAGGATCGAGCCTCCACCACGCTTGCGCTGAATGACTCGCATAGGTTTAGAGCTGAAATTAGTTATTAATATTTATCCTTCACTCTCTCTCAGCCATTTTTTCCTTGTTTTTGTCTACATTTAAACTTCTTTCTCACAGAGCAGGTTGTTCATTGCACCATGCGTTATTCTTGTCATATTACTTCATTTGTTTGGATAAATATTTATGGCTGCATTCCCTATGTGTTCTTTAATGCTAAAATAATTACAGTAATATATAATTTTAATTTCTTACACTGTTACTATCTTGTGGAAATTATTTTGGAGTCGAAAACTGTTCCACGGAAACGTTTATAGTGAAGCATAAGTAGCCCTTAATATAACTGCTTACATAAACACTTGTATATAATATTTGACATTTTAGGCATATTTAAGTAGTTACACAGAGTAGATAATAAACATAGGAGATAATAACATCGTTATAGGACCTAGAATAGTTAGAAATAGGTCAAAATATAGTCGCATAGACAGTAGCCAGTAGTTCAAAATTCGAACTCAAAGCTAGAATTCACTGGCTTGTTCAGTTGCTATCAAACATCACGAAGTAAAGACGTGACGAATGTGCACTCAAAACACCGGCAGAAATTACAATTGGTTGGGGAACAAGATATCCTTGAGCGGTTTCCGAAAGTATAGGTTACTCGTCCCTATCAGGCCCTCTCACAGGGTGGCGAAATCTACAGTCCCTAGCAACACAGGCGGCCGTCCTTGAGGAATAGTAGGTAGCTAATCTGTGGGGGAGTGTAACATACGCTCGGAAATTTGAAGTACATCTCCGTGGTCCAGGGAGTCACGGAACATCGAGCTCCTTACCACCAAGTGAGTTAACTTCACGTTTTGTACATTCTCACGTCAGCAGCTGTAATTGAATATCAGTTGCATGAGCCATATGTGAGCCTGGGAGAATCAACCTAGGGTGTCTGCGTCAGCAGTACTAGCTAAGTTTGACGCTCACCTAGGGGCAGTTAGCATAGAAATTTCCAAATATCTTATGTCATCACAGTAACAACGTCCCTATGTTACTTCATTACACAATGCGTATTTTTTTTTGTTTTTGCACGTTCTAAAAAAATAACTTTCTTTTGTATTATTATTATAATCAAGGGGAAGCGCTAAACCCGGAGGATTATACAGCGCCTGGGGGGGGGATGTGGAAGGCATTCAGGCTTAATTCGGGGAACTGGAGCACAGATCCAATTCCCTAAATCAAGAGCCCCTCACCAACATCAAGGAACCTTCCTTGAGGGGGCTTTCTTTTGTAAATTAAGCTGTTCTCTTAAAAAAGTAGGGATTTCAACATTCAAAGACGATTGATAAATCAAAACATGACATGATTGGGTGTATAATATTTAGGTTAGGTAAGACGTCAGGAAATAGGACAAGTGTTTCTGACGCGGTCTTAGTCATTTTATGACTCGCCACTAGAGCTTTTGGTCATCTGACCGAGGCCTTCCACTAGTTTACCCGTCCACACCTTTAAAAATTAATGCTAAATTGTATAAACTTTAAGAAACACCACTACTTATAACATCAAACTTATAGTCTGGTTTTATAGTGGCAATACTTACTCCTCGAAATGCTGATCTGGTATTAATGAGATGCTAATCAACACACTCTAACCTAATCTAAATAACTTATGTAGAGAAATTATCTTCAAAGATATGTAATAAATAAACGATTAACTTATGATGCAATAAATGTGAATGCCACTAATATCTGGAGAAACCAATTATTCTGTTTTTTGTAAGTGATGCAATACTTGTGTAGTATATAGTATATATATGTGCCAATATCATTAAATACACCATCCCTTTGTACACCAAGCTAGCCACCCTCGCTGTGTGCAGCGAGAACTTCAGCCACCAGGGCACAGGACACTGGGATCCGTCTTTGTCCCATGATACATTCTTATAACAGCCTCCATTTTCGTATCATTGCTAATTTCACTCTTCTTAAGAACCCCGCGATAATATTAACTTAGCAAAACTTTATGTTGAAATCCCTAATTGTGTAAGTAATTTCTGACAAGAAAAAAATCGATAAAGAGGTCATATAAAAACTAACATTAAGATTTCCATATACCTTTCAGAGCTATTAAACATAGAAATAATAGTGTTTGTTGGCATGGGCATGAGGTTGGCATTCTTGCGAGAGTATTCCTACAGTAGTATGGGTTGGTCTCTGCTGCTGTCGTCCATCACTCTGCAGTGGTCCATTCTCTGTGGGGGATTCCTCCAGGGCCAAGAATTCATTTACATTGACATTTACAGGTTGGTCTTCCCCTCAGTGGACTTTAAAATTAATAAGCTTGCGAGAAAATTATACAGTTTAATGAAGCAATATCACAGTCAGACGATCTTAACAATGCAAAACAAGCCACAGGGGATGGAAATCTTCAGCTAAAGATCTTTCATAGGTCTCCATGCGTTACCAGGAGCTATATAATGAACAGTGTGTAGCTCTTGATGACTCAGGGAGACATTTGAAAGATCTTGAGGTGAAGATTTCCACCCCCCTACCCCCCCCGTGGCTTGTCTTGCAGAATTTAATGATATTATTATCATAAAAAAATAAATCCACGTGGGGCATTCAACAATGCTGTGATATTTAAGTGAATGTGAGGAAGTGTTGTTGATATCTCACAAAATTTCGTACCCTTGCATTTTGAAGGTAAATCCTAAAAAAAAATATTGGATACATTCTCAAAAAAATATAAATATACTTGTTTTATATAAATAAATAAAATATATATATATATATATTTATATATATATATATATATATATATATATATATATATATATATATATATATATATATATATATATATATATATATATATATATGAATCCACTTGCAATATGTATACGGAGGTGGACCGTGTGTATGCATGTATACTTGCAGCTTGCTACGAGGGTGTATGGCTAGTGTGAGTGTAGGAGTGGCTCATGGTGCCGTGATGGGACTGGCCTCTCCCATTCAGTTGATCGTCCTCACCCTCTCCCATGTTCCTATCTACACTCTCAGCAACCATCTAGCCTCTAGTCACCTCCTGGTGAGTCCTGGAGTTCACAGGTGACCCATATGGTCTCCAGGTTTTGTGGGGAAACTCCAAAACTGTATGGGTTCATGCGGCGACCAGGGAATGGGAGGCGATCAAGTTTGATCCAAATGCGAGAATAGACTCCAATTTCTTGGATCACGAGAGCCTACACTGGCATCAAGGTTCTCCTTGCTGTTTCACCTGGGGTCAATTATGCTCTAGATTATTATTATTATTATTATTATTATTATTATTATTATTATTATTATTATTATTGTTTTTATTATTACTTTTATTGTTCTTGTTTTTATCATTATTATTATTAGTTTTACTACACTGACCATCTCCCACCAAGGCAAAGAAAAAATAAAATTTATTCATCATTAATTCAATAGTTGTCTTGCCAGAAGTGAACAGACATGACAGTTCATATTATCTTCAGAATTGCAGCATCCTCACAACTCCTTCAGAGTGCAGGCACTTCACGTCCACCTCCAGAACTCATATCTGGCTAACCAGTTTTCCAGAATCCCTTCATAAATGTTACTTTGTTCACACTCCAACAGCACGTCGTCACTAAAGCCTTTTGTCTCTACACACACACTGATCTAACACGCTCATCTACGCTTGCTGGATCCTCAAGCCCATGCCGCTAAAAACCTTTATCCCCCTCCCTGCAACCGTAACAGAGATGAACCCTACTCCATTCTTCCACCCCAGAACTGTATACCCTTAATGATCATCATATCCTGCTCCATCTTCTCTCACTGCCCTAACCATTATTATTATTATTATTAAGAGAAACAGCAACAAAACAGTGATATTAATAATAATAATAACAACGAATGCACTTTTAGTTATCATGCCTGTCCTATAATTATTCTTGGCTGTGTTGAATACAATACTGCTGTCTTTATACCTTTGTAAGTAAGTTTATTCTGGTATACACAAATACAGTTACATAGATTATCATACATAGCAGCATGTATGTAGAGAACCTTGGATAACCCCCTTCCCCCCCATAAAAAAAGTCTGACTGACTTATTTCCAGTGGGGTCCTTTATCACAATACCTTTGTTGCAATACTTTTCTCACAATACTATTGTCCCAATACATTTGTCACAATACCATAGTCACAGTAACGTCGTCGCAATAAAAGCTTGTTTTGCGCCTTTTCTTCACGGGGTGTGTGTGTAATTTATGTATCTCTTCCCGTCTTGTGGTGTGTGTCGGTGAGGCAGGCGGTGGACCGCGGAGGCTGCGTCACTGTACACATGTTTGGTGCCTTGTTCGGTGTGTCGGCGTGCAGGGCACTGCGAGGTCACTGGTCGCTGTCTTCCACTCGTCTCACCTCCTCCACCACTACTCAGGTCACTGCCTGCATCGGTAAGTGTTCCAGCAGTTCGGTTCGAATGGATAAGTTTGCCAAGGAGCAGGCTCAGAGAGCGCCTGCTCACCATGTCCACTCCCTTCAGATTTTCAGCCAAAAACTCGTACACTGAGAAATGGACACCTCTAGATGTATATAATCTGCATTTGAGATGGGAGAAATGGACACCTCTAGATGTATATAATCTGCATTTGAGATGGGTAAAAATAAACTAAATTTGTGGTGGAATTTGCTCCACCGGCTATACCTTCTCCCCATCCTTTGAGATGGCTTCGTGACCCTTGGGGTCACCATGACAGTTATGACCTCTCTACTAAGTAGGGTTATAAGGGGTTGTTTTTAACAGGGGCGTATATTTTGTATGTAGGCTAGGCGAGCGCCGTATACCGCACCAGAGATGGTAAATTCATCATAAATATGCTAACTCAATAATATAATCATGGATAATAATGGGAAACTAATTTTTCTGTCCTCTTTTATGAAATATTGTGACAGTTATTTTAAGATAGCACTGCACACCCCACAGCTAGTTGTATCATGCACAGTGCACACCCTGTGACAATAACCCACCATACGTCACAATGCTTTTGTGTCTTTCCCTTCACCTCGGAGGAGAGAGCCATATTGCCATATCTCACCTCTTGTCATGTCTAAATCTTCAATTTCTCATTATTAAAAATGAGATCTATTTCTCACCAAATCTCAAGAGCCTTGACTTTATGATTGACATTCTCACTGAGCACAAGAGCACTTAAACAATTCTCCTTATTGCCAGTACTGGTAACCGAACCCAAGGCAGAGCAGAGCTGGCACTTGGAGCTGGCCGAATTTGTATTACCAACGGGCAGTCTTGAGCCCGATGCCTCCATGTAGGGAACACCGTATATGTGTCTCCGAGAGTAGCCAGGAGCCTGGCTAATTTCCTACCTTTAATTTTGTGTGTGCTCCAACGTCTATTCAAGGATGAGCATAAAAGAGTATTAAGACACTTGAGTGATTTGGTGGATTTTCTAGACCTAAGCTGCAATTCACTCTCAGAGATGTGACCTCACTAGAATTACTAGTGCATGGGTTAAGCTCAGTGTCAGCTATAATGATTTGACGACATGTATATACGACAACCACTCATTATTTATCAGGACAGAAGTTAATGTGTGTATTTTACTGACGTGTCGAGTACCACACACCGAGTCCAAAGGTAGATGAAGACTTGAGGCACGTAAGTCCATTTCCTCACCTTGTTTATTAAGTAGCAGACTGCAATCCGTAATTTTATGCAAGGTAGGTAGGGACTTAATTGAAATACAGTGGTGTAAATGTAAAGTTTAGTGGGAGCCAGTCCAAGAACTTGTCAAATTATTTGCCACACGCCATGTAAGAACCCAAGGTGTTAGTCTAGGTTCCATTCAGTGAGTGTGCTGGATTATTCTGTCTGGTAATGGGCCAGGCACTAGGTGTCGTCAAGGACATCATATTGGTAAGTAGTCAGTGTCCAACATACTTGGTTTTGCATCCATATGTGGAGGAAATGATCACCAAGTCTGTTTGAGTCTGTGGGGAGGCTGGCGGAGTCTAGAGCTAGTTTTAATTAACAGTCATTTAAGTACACACATTAGAATTCCTCCACATCTTTGATCCTTTAGAGTTAGACAGAATGTTATTCTGAGTCAGTGTGGGTTTATGAACCAGTGTGTTCATGAACCTGTAGTGGGTTCAGGAAGTGGACCAACGAACCAGTGAATATCTTTGAAAATCACTGATAGTGTATAATGTGTAAATTAGGTAGTCTTTCATTCTTAATTGTTAGACATTTTTTTTTGTAACTGTATACAGTCGGTACCTGACCAGCCGGGCTGTGGTTCGTACGTTGGATTGCGTGCAGCTAGTAGTAACAGCCTGGTTGATCAGGCCCTGATCCACCATGAGGCCTGGTCACAGACAGGGCCGCGGGAGCGTTGACCCCCGGAACTCTCTCCAGGTAATACAAGCACGTGTTCATTGTCCATTTGGCATAGGTTCAGAGTGTTCCATCTCTATGGGGCTGGGGTCCACTCCACTCCCCTAGTAATGGTCCTGTTGGCCACTTGAGAAAAAAAGGGGTCACCCCAACTCCCTGTGACTGTGTGAGAAAGGCCTGACACCCATGGTAATAGCTGCGTGGCCCTCAGCCGCAAGGCATTACACCACACCCACCCCGGGCGCAACCTGTGGGTGTGGTGACTATACTATATGGGCACCCTCACTTGGTTTATGTTTGTATACAGACCCTTCTGACCACCTGGGTACTCACTGACCCACATCTTCTGCCCGGCAAATGTCAATGTAAGGGTTCGACTAATCACTCGCGTAATACCTGCTGGATAATAAATGTCATGCATGTCGATTGATTGTAGCACTGAAAGTGTTTAATACAGAAAATAACACCATACTTAATGGCAGTATGCCACTCAAAAATACGACTCACAACGTATTCAAAACCCGGCATTATACAAAATATTACCATTGCTTGTGCTGACACACAGCTGACGTTTCTCCCCCCCCCCCACACACACACATTAAAATTATACCCACATTCACCAATCTGAAGAATCATATTAATTCAACTTAAATTTAAGAACATATCCTGAACTCGTCAGTAACTTATGTAATAAGTATTAACAAACAATGGTGGTACATGAACACCAAAATCACAAAACATTAAATTATAAACTATTAACAAAAAGTGATTTTTTTTTATGTTTTATCAAAATCCATACATCAGATATAAAATAAATTGAGAAAGCGTTACCAAGTCTGCCGTCCAGACAACAATGATATTACATGCACACATCAGTATTGTGTGAAAACAAAACCTCTGTCCCACAATCCTAGGATACACAGCAAATAAGACATTATAATATCACCAAAACATAAAGGAGCTACCTAGTAAAACTAACCTATACCATGGTTACAAAAAAAATCCATGATATGTAAAAAAAATTCTGTCTGCGTAATACATCCACTTGAATAATTGTACTGCTTACAATAATGCATGGCATATAGACAATAGAATTACAACTGACGTAACCCCCCCCCCCCCGCCCCGGCAGGATCCCACTTCACCCCACCAATTTATTCTCTTACTACTAAAATCTGCTATTCTACCGACCCAAACCTTGTAACGAAAATGGCATAGCCATATCATCCAGAAAGGTATCAGAGGCATGTATATACAGAACTTGTACACAATAATGACCACTCGGTAAGAAAACCGCATCATGTAATGTACAGCGCCACAATATAGGAAAGAAGTAATTTTGAACAAACTGGTTCAGACCATTATCCACACAAAGCATCAATATAAGCATCTAGCTACACACCAGACCTGTAATTAAAACAAATCTACAGCACACTGTACGACTCGCAGGTCGCATTACATACATTGCTGTGACTTATGTACTTAGTAAAACCAGTATTAACAGGTGCTTACAGAATACATCTCATAAAATAATTGCATTACTAAACTCCAAACAATGCACGCTATATGCAACTAACACCAGCCTGGGATATTAAAATTCACAAAAAAAAAAAAAAAACATTAACCACGGCGCAGCCTCTATTGATGACTTAGCAGTGCAGCATAACTCAGCATTGAGAAAACCATACCGTGGTTCTGAGTACCCCCCCCCTTTCTCAGACTGACACTCATTCACGCCAGCAAGACACTATGCCCCAGACCCACACAAAGGTCCCCTCACCACTACATTACAACCCCGATCACCAATACACACCAAATAAAACGTAAGTCAGACACGCCAAAAAAACACTAACTCTTCCCTCCCTCCTCCACCCAGGAGACCAACCCCTTGGCTCCACCGAGGAATTATGTATGTGCGGCCAGCAGTAACAGCCTAGTTGATCAGGCCCTGATCCATCGGAGAGCCTGGTCGTGGACGGGCCGCGGGGCGTTGATCCCCGAATAACCTCCAGGTAACCTCCAGGTAACCTCCCTCCTCCACCCAGGAGACCAACCCCTTGGCTTCACCGAGGAATTATACCTACCTACACCTCAGTACTCCTGTAACGTTTCCATCGTTAGATTTCCTATACCCCACGAAAAAGCTCCCTCCCAGCATTGCCCATACACCTCTATTCCTACATTTCGTTAAGTGTTATTGATGTATTCTGCATTCCGCAGGTAGAGAAGGACCTGGGGGCACGTAAGTCCATTTCCTCATTCAGTAAATTACATTCCATAATCTTGTGCAGGGTTGGTAAGGACTAATTAATTGAACTAGAGAGTGTAGACGTAAAACCATACCACGGGCGGGATTTGAACCCGCGGTCAGAGAGTTTGTTTGCAATCGTGTCATTACGATTTCGTTAGTCATATATACGTAAAGCTTGGTGGGAGTCAGTCCAAGAGCTGGTCACAGTGTCATTCGCCACACGTCATGTAAGCAGCCAGGTGTTAGTGTTCGCTACCATTTTAGTGACTATGTGTGCTGGATTATATCTGCCTGGTAATGGACCAGGCACCAAGTATCAAGGACATCATATTGGTAAGTAATTAGTGTCCAGTACACTTGTTTTGACAGCCACATGCCGAGGAAATGATCATTATTAGAGTTTGTGGGGAGGCTGGCGAATTCTAGGCAATACTGCTGAAGGGCACACACGTAAGAATTCCTGCACAAATGTTTCAGGTACAGTGGTGGTGGTTGTGTACCTGGGAGAGGTGTGGTCGGTATCCACTGTTGGTGACGACCATCACAGAGCCCTCATAAACACTCTCCTCGCCACGTTGGCATCTCTCACCCTCGCCTTCCCAGCCTCATCCCTCGCACATACTCGCAGGAAGTTCTCACTGGTGAGACAGAGACACAAGTATACTTTTCAAAGTCATCGCTAAATTACCGATCATTCATTCATTCAATGCATAACCAATTTTGAACAGGTTATTACGATGTACAGACATCTGGAATAGTTTCTTAAATACGATTATAAAAAATGAAAGCTTGTTTTTGCATTATTAAGAAATTTTGAGCAGATTCTAGAATGTAAATGTTACAGACACTCGTAAAACTAATCTTATTTCACAATGTAAATTGAATACAGTACAATAATGAATTATTATTACAGCGTGATAATGATGGTTCAGGTTCAGCTGAAATGATCCCATTTTGATTCCTAATGATTTCTATATTACACATTGGGATTGTATGAAGGAGTGTCTGGTCTGGTTGTTTAACTGTATGAAGGAAAGGGGAGTGTTGGGGGAATCGCAGGGCACGGGGGTAGTAGTTTTGGTCTATAAGGGAGGGGGGGGTAAGACCTTGGGTGCTTTTAGGGCGATCTCCCTCATGTGTGCAGATTATAAAGTTTTTGCGAACGTTTTAGGCAAACCGTATGAAAAAGGTGCTTGAACCGAGTCCTACATCGAGGACAGTGTGGGATTCCAGGTCGAAGTATGCGTGAGGGGCATGGAAGAATTAAGGATTTTGTGGAGGGTAGACAACGGGGGGGGGATCTTAGGGATTGATTGGAAGCAGGCTTATGACAGTGTAGATAGACATATGTTGTGGTGTATTTTAAAAAAACAGGGTTTTGGTGATGAGATTGTGCGCTGGGCTACTACTTTGTATACGCCTGCAACGGTCAGGGTACAGGTTAATGGGAAGTTAGGGTTGCCGGTGCAGATGGGGATGGGTTTGCGACAGGGTTGCCCCTTGTCTCAAATCCTCTTTGCATGCATGCAGGACCCTTTTTATAGGCTTATAGAGGAAGGAGTGTGGGAACAGGGAGAGGTGGGTCCTGGGAGATGTGGTATTGTGGGGTATGTGGATGACACCACAGTTTTGGTAGGAGGGGAAATAGGATTGGGAAATGTGGGACGTATAATAGAGATTTTTGGTGGGGCGACAGGGATGAGGGTTAATGGAGCAAAGTCAAAGTTATTAGAAGTAGGCACGTGGGTGGGGGGGGGGGTTTGGGGGAGCAGTATGGGTGGAACGTAGTGGATAGAATTAAGATATGTGGGGTTGTGTATATGACGGACGCTGGGGAGGCACAGAGAATAAATTCCAAGGAAGTAGTGAGTAGAGCGATGGGTAGGATGCGCGGGTGGAGGGCTGGGGATGTAACATTGCAGCAGAGGGTGGTGGTAGTAAATACACTTGTGTACAGTAAAGTGTGGGGCGTGGCAGAAATATATCCCCTGAGGTCCTGTGATATTCAGGAACTGGAGAGGGTGGTTTTGAGGTATGTGTGGGGTTATGGGAAGCCATGGCTACGGAAGGAGGTGGTGATGATGGGCGTGCGGCAGGGTGGGCTGGGTCTTATACCTTAGGACACACGAGTGAAGGCAGTGTATGTGAAGCAGCGGTACTTGAGGGTGGGAGGGAGAGGGGTAGAAGGGTGGGAGAGGTCATGAAGGATGTGCGAAAATGGTGGAAGGGAAAGGCAACTGGAGTGTGAAGATATGGTGCGAAATTTGTTGGCAGTAAGGGAAGCAAAAAAAGTAAGGGTAAGTAGGCTTGGGAGGACAGGTTGGCAGGGTACAGTGATACAGGGAGTAGCTACATACCCAATGTATGATTGGAGGGGGCATTTGGGAAGACTTTCGGAAGATCAGATTAAAGCCAAGGGTTCGTGAAGTGGTTATAGATTCTTTATGGGAATTCTAGCTACAAGGTCAGTGCTATATAGAATGGGTTATGTAGGTGCTGGCACTTGTTTGCATTGTGAGGAAGAGGAGACGGCTTTTCATTCCATATATTTTTGTGAAAACTTGGGTTTTGTAAGGGCATGGTTAGCGAGTTCTGGGTATAGTGGCGGGAGGGGGGAGAAACATTTCGACTTTGAGGGCTTTGCATTTTGATGTGGGAGGGGTTTCCAAGGACATTCGGAGGGCAGTGGTGTATTTTAGTGGCAGATTTTTTGTATGTGTCTTAGTGCATGCGGGAGGTGGGGGGTGAATATAGGGTGCGGGCGCTTGCGGCGAGTGTGTATCGTACAGTATGCAGAAATAGGCTACTATATGGGAGGTTGTGGGTAAATAGTTTTCCTTTGGGTTATCGTAATCTGACGGTAGGTGTAATGTTAGGGTTGGGTGTAGTTTAGAGCTGGATTGGGCTGGTTCTCCCTAAACTGGCATTCTTGTTCTTTTTTGGAGATTAGTGGAGGATGGAGGTGGAATAAAAGTGTGGTAGTGGAGCATATGGGTGTAAAGTCGTTAGGAATGAGGGGGGGGGGGGGTGGGGGGGGTGAACTGGTGACATTTGGTTAAGAGACAGGGGTTTTATGACTTTCGACGTCAGGTACGAACTTGAGCATGGAAGGGAACGTGAGCTTGTGTTTTTTTAATACAGATAGCATGGGGTCAGGGATGGCACGGGGTGGCTTTCTGAAGTGTCTTTTGCCAGGATGGTTTTGTTAATGATTGAGGTAGTACTGCCCGGTACATGTTTTATTAGGAGCCATAAGTTATATTGTGTAACTTAGTGCGTGACAGAGTAAGTCTGATAATGCTCTGGAACATTGTTAATAAATATATATATCTTGTTGAACATGATAATACATAAAAAGGGAATTGTATTAGTGAGGTGGAGTTAACAATTTCTAGTTTGTTCTGTTACCATATTAGTTGGTTTTCTTCACTTTGTCAAATAAATAACTATCTCTATATTGTTATAAAGTTTATTTATGGTTAGTTCTTTTTTTTATACGTTTTAGTGATCAAAATGTAAGGTGGTAGTGAGCTCTTAGTGCAAGGGCATTTATCTTGCACTGGGGAAAAGGGGAAGTGTGTTAAAGTAAATATGATTGGATCATAACGATATGTCATTGGATATATGTACAACGGTATTTAGGAGACGGGAAGGATTGTGAGGATTGTCAATAGATGTATTAATTCTTATGTAAATTTAATGGAACTCAGGGTGATAATAATGTACACAATTAGTCTGGTGATAAGTATTTTTTTTTTTTTTTTATTTTATTTAAAATAAAATACTTAGCTTAAAAATTAAAAAACCCTTAAACTAGGGTTGATCACATTGTATTATAAAACACATTTTGAAAAACACTCTCTCAGAAAAGTACAATAGCAAAAGAAACCAAAATATTAACAAAACAAAGAGTTACACAGTTATACTTGAAATATCGCTTGTGACGAAACATAACATTAAGAAGATGGGCCAATCTTAACCCTATGCTACACAGAACAACAAACAAAGAACATAAACATGTAGGTGACCCCTGTAGGCAGGTTCTATAATATAAATAAAACCATAATCCTTAGGGTATACACTATTTACATAATATATGGGACATTGACAATGCACAATAACAATACAATGTGAAGGAATAAGTATGATAAATATATAATATATCGGATATCACAACCAACACAAAATAATCGATAACCGGAAAGAACCTACATCACAATCTCATGATAAAACAAAAGTACATACTCGCCTACCACAAGTTTACGAGTCAGCCACACAAAAATAGAAAATGCCATAATCATTCCGCACTCATCTACAGCTATACACATTTTATTAGACATAGCAATTTAAAAAGACTCACGGTACAAACACACAAAACCCCGTTTGCCGGCCTTTGCCGAAAGGTACATCAAGTACTTCACAAAGAAAGAAGGCAGTAGACTATGAATTAAGACATCTATAACACATTTAATTCACCACCACATCCAACTCACACAATCCACATTTTCCTCAACCACGCACACATTACATTAGATTCTCGATGTGATACAAAGTAAACCTGGCCGTTGTGCATACCCAACCCGGAGACATGCCCGTGACCATCCCTGAAATTCACTCCCCCCCCCCTTTCACAACGTTAACATATGCTCTCCACTCGTAATTACGGACACTGCTTGAAAAAAGCCTGTCCAAGACTTCTATATATTTCCCGATTATAACACAACGTTCTCTAAAAGGTTCCCCGCCAACCCCTTTTGCGCACATCCCATTCCCAATTCCTTCTCATTGCCCAGGATACAAAAACAAATTTCCGCCAATTATATCGTGATTGCACGTTGACACAGGCGACCTCGACGCCTCCCAGTCCAAACTTAACGACCCCTCTATACTTAATATCCGCTCCTCCCACTGTCCTCAGAACCTTAACCCATCCTTTCCCTGATCCTCCCCAATTTATCACCAAAAAATACATACATGAATCGCTGTCTCCTCATCCCGTCACACCCGATCACGCGCCCTCCACCATCAAACCCTCTTTCCTTAAGTGCAGCACCCGACGGGCAGTCTTCCATGGAGAAAACGGAAAAAAAATACCTCCGCATCATTTGGTCGCACGCGCATCTACCGTAATTCTTTCCCATATATCCTTCCACGCATACAAATGGGTTGATACTCTCAGCCTTTCAAGACTCCTTTGCCCTTAACATCACGCTCAACACCATCTACTCGAACTTTATTAGGGGTCCCGTACATGCAGAGGGAGGCAACGCCCCGCAACAGGTATTCACACACTTTCTTCTCCGACCCTCCCCACCACATTCGCACCTCTTCATGCAAGCCATTCACGCCCTCCCTGCATGACCGGCGCACACGGCGTAACCCCACTTCAAATAAATGCATCTTGCTCTTAACCGTAAATCAATCAATCCCCAATCCTCCTCTGTTACCGGTAATGTAACCACACTCCTACTCAACCATTCAGCACCCGGAACCCAAAGAAAATGGGAAAACCCTCTTTAACAGCCTCGTATCATCCGGACTGCTAACGGATATACCGCAACCCACGTGCCCAGACTTTACTGTTATAAAAACTTCACAACATCGCACGCCTGATGTACTGTCAAATGAGTTGGGTTCTAACCCATCCAATCGCCCCACCACCCGATCCCACAACAAGTCCAGAATTAACATCCTCGCCTCTCTCGCACTACGCATTACTATTCCACACACTTTTTATCCTGTCACCATATTCCAACGTAATTCCTTCCACAACTCTCTCTTCCACCCAATCTCCTCAGACCAGTAATTTTATTTTTCCTCATTAACTCTTAAACCGGTTAACCCCGCGAAATTATCAATAACATCTACACCGCACGTAAATTGCTCTGCGTTCGCACGGTGTATGGTCGTGTCATCACACATACCTTTTATTCCCTGCTACTCCATTCTAACTCCCCAATCACTACACCTTACCACGCTTTCCTCTTTTTAGAAAGGGTCTGTTATATCAGGCAAAAACGATTGTGACAGGGGACAACCCTGCCTAATACACTGAACCATGGATACCCACTTCCCCATTTTCCCCTTTACTAGTTACACACACTTCCCACACCTGTTTACAATGTCTCTGCCCAACGTACCACTCCTCCAAAACCCTGCCTCCTTAATATATACCACAACACCTCGCGTTCTACACTATATACGCCGCCTGACAATCTAACGCTAGACACCCCCCCTGCTCCACTACCGACCCCTTCCACACAATTCTTTTATAATTATATGCCGTCATACATCGTCCTCACCCAGACACTCCATATTGTCCTCTCGCAACCACTCTATCCACCACCTCACTTCATCCTATTTCCTAAAATTTTTGCAATAATCTTATAATCTGCAAACAGCAAGATATTTTCCTTAAAGTCCCGCACCGTGTCATGTTTCTTACCTTTTGGCACTAAAAACCACACCGCAGTTCTCCTTGCAACCATGACCATCCTCCCTCCATTTTCATCGTATTCATTAGTTCTTAATAAGGAAGGACTTTCAACAATTCACAATGGCTCACATAAAACTAGCAGGGCAAAGCCATCCAGACCTGGAGCATTTACCCGTGCCATCCCTCCAAAGCCCTCCACACCTCCCCTTCTTCCAATATCCCCCCCCAACGCCATGCGATCAACTGCTACTTAGCACACAATAGATACATTTACTCCCCCAACACTCCGAAAGGGGCCTCCCCATCCACCCTACACTCAGTAAATTTTTCAAATCCACTATCAACTAAATCACTCATTGCCTCCGTTGTTCTTAATCATGTCCCGCCCTATATCCAACCTAAGTCCTCATGTTCACCAGCCTATCAAATTTCCATATGGCCATACGTCGCTGCTCTGTCCCCTTATCACACAGGCCGATGGGTCGGTCACCCCACACCGCACTCTTCAATTCCACCCTGCACTCTCCCCGCATCAAAACTAATCATTCTGCAAATCACGAATCCTTCCTTTTAACAACTCGTTTCCACCATGGAGATACTGCCCTGGCCTGCTCGACCCCTCTCATAAACAACTTTTGCAACCTACCCTCGAAATACTGCTCGCACCCGTAACGTCATCCAACCACGGTACATTTCCCATCGCACATAAAAACTGACCGGATCCTCTCCTTAGTACCCCATCCCCACCACCCCAGCAAGTCAACCCACATCCCTACCCTCTCCCCCACAAATTCTCCCACATTGTCCTAAAATCTAAACCCGCCTCCTCCACCACAAGTAAGACTCACATTTAACTTCAATACCCTGGATACCTCTTAGGTAAGCTGGCCAAAGTCAAGTCCGTTTATAAACAGCTCTCCATGATCCGTTGTAACAGCTTCCACCGTACGCAACACATCACTCGCACATTATCGTCACATAGAACCTATTCGGGAGCCTGGCCGCCCCGCGTATCCCTGTCTATGGAAAACGTATTTGCTCAACAATTAGGTCCCCACTCCAATAACATCCTTAACCCCACGCCAGCAAAAGATTACCTGAGGCTAACAAAAACAACCCTGCCCAGTGGCCTCCACATCTTTCTACGTACTATACCAATTACATCACCACCCAATGATTGTTACCGAGGGAAAAGAGATCTCAATAATAAACCCAAAACATCACGCACAAATTCATTTCTTCACCCGTACATCTAGTCCGCCGGCGGCATACACACAAACCATGCCTGTCGCCTCACTCTCCCTCCATCCATCTTACCGGATGTACCACTACCCCTCTCCCCTCCATCAACATCTAATTACAACAAACGGGCTTGTCTCACGAATCAGAATTCCAACCCCACCTTTCAAACGGTCCCTAGCAGAATATGCCACAAACACACGATATAGTCCACATTCAAATCCCGACCCGCCTTAAAGTTTTGCTCTGCATGAATACAATATCTATTGGCATGACGCACTTCAGAAACCCCTGGAGCCACAAAACGCGTCACTTTCATACACAACCCATTTACATTCACAGATCTTACAACCTGAAAAATCTCTATTAAGGGGTTTTACACGCTGCCCTGTAATCCTTTCATAGACAGTCATCCAGCCTTACTTTTTTCCCACCTTGCATCACAACAAGTGAAGCTTATTCCCTACCCGTAAGTACACCTGACGGACACAACCTGTGGGCCTTCACTCACCTCCATCAGCCCTAGGTTTCTTCCCCGGTCTTTGCGCGGCGGTAAGACATCCATCAGGACTCAGAGTGCGTTGCCGCCTCTTCAGCCGAAATACTCTCTGATCCATGGTCTGGTCGGGGGATTGCCTCACTAATGCACCTCCGCCGACCACCTCGACCACGGGTCACATTCCAGTAGAACGAGGCACTGCAGTCAGCTGGTGTCTCTCTCGTCCTCACTCTCTCAGGTCCCACCTCCGATTGTACATCATCTCAGCTCTATTCGTCTCCAAAAACTTTTCCGTCTCAACTGCTCCCAGAGCCACATCCTTGCTCGTTCTCCTCCACTCAATTGGTCTCCCCTTCCACAAAAGCGGAGACTGTTGATTTACAGGCTTCCGATGGGCTCGACCCCACCGTCGGGAACTCTCTTTCCACCTCCTCCTCCAAGACGAAACTATGGCCCTCCTTACAGGCATCAGCTGGGCAGGCCCGCTTGGGTAGGGCCATCGCTCCGTCCTTTGCTGCAAACTGTCGTTGCTGTTCTGCTTGCCTCTCACACTGTGATTGCCATATGGTCATAAGCACCACATAGCCTGCAGGTCTTGCGTGCCCTGCGTTATACACCACTCACTTGCGTCCTTAAGTCGTCCAGGGATGACAAAAACAAAAAAAAACAACGGGATGGGATGCCTCAGCGTTCATCTTTTAGGTGAACGTACCTCAGGGCCAGACGGCGTAAGCCCCATCCACCCAGGTACCTGCCATTGCCAGATGCACAGTACCATAACGTTCAAAAACGTTCCGCTATATCTGCCTCGTCAGCGTCGAAAATAGGCACGTTGGCGTAACCTTCACCCAAGTGTAGTGTCGCGCCACGTCAATTAAACGAAACTCGTATTGCGAGTTTACGGTCACACAGCCATCTTGATATGCTCCACCAGGCGTCATACACTGCCGTCGATCGTAGCTTAACGAATATTCAGGTAAGCCAACGTTGAGATCGATACTCATACAAATCTTGATCAGCAATGCGTATGTGTCGAGAATAATCAAAGGTAGAGAAAGCACCTGATGCCGGACTGAGGCGTAATTACACCCCGCACTTATCAAAAGCACACAGTGTGACGCGCCTTCTGACAGTCTGGCCATCTTGGTGAAAATCAATATGCGCAGATGGCCTCTCAACCAGGAGCGTTGCTATGTGCGCAGCACAACCCTCACGGCATAAAGCGTTTAGGTCAATGGGGATGATAAGTATTGATATCATTATGGCTTATTTATAATTTACATTTTGATTGATGAAATGTATAATTGTTTTTAGCTTTGGGTAAAGGATAAAACAGCATAGGGGATGGGGGATATTTTTGTAAGCACAAAGATGAATCAGCCAGTATGTATTTTAGAAAATGTAAAAAATTTTATTTTTCTGTGGCGGAAGACGATAAGGTAAGGTTCTAAGTCCTTCATGTTATTGTTTTAATGTATTTTTTAAATTCAATGACTGATGGAGTGGTTATGAGTGGTGACGGCAGTCACAGTTACTATGGCATGTGGGGGGGGGGGGTGAAGAGTCAGCGGTAGTGTATATTAAATCCACCACAGTGCCACGATATTGATTGTTATCCATGGGGTATATGAGGGTTTGGGTGTGGATTGGTTTCTTTGGTGGATGTGTTGCCATATGTTCAGACATTCCTTGGTTAATTATACGTCAGACCTTTTAGATGGTGGATTGTTTTTATACATGTTGTCAATGATGTCCTAATGCTCTAATAAATTTATAAGACATGTCAATGGTATACTCAGGTGAAATTGGTATGTTTTTCCAAGGGGGGGGGGAGGTGTACGCATTGACTAGGTAGGACTAACGTTTTTATTATAAGACCATCTTTTCACGTGACGCACAGAACCATAAAGTAGTGTTTCGATTGGACGAGCAGCAGCCAATTCTGAGTCATTATGTAAGTGCTTCTTTGGTTATTTGAGTAGTCCACTGCAGATTATCGTTTTACTGCTTGTTCTTTTACCAATATTGATTATGTATCCCATATATTTTTTGTACCTGAGTTTTAAATTAAATATAAATAAAAATTGACTTACAGTACAATAATGAAATTATTTTTACAGCGTGATAATTGATGTTCAGGTTCGCTGAAATGATCCCTTTTTCATGTTAGTATTTTTGAACTTTTAAGAATACTAGTCATTGTGATCGTCTACAAGCCTCCGGAGCAACATCCCATCAATTCCAGGAACAGCTGTTAAAAAAATTGACCCACTGTCTGGTAAAACCTTCCAGATCTGCACCACAACATCTTGCTCCTGGGGGCATTTCAACTTAAGGCACCTAAAATGGGAGGAATATAGCAAATAATATGGTTGCAGTAAATCACCAGGAGGCAGCTCTGATGAAAACTCACACTCACGCGAGCTTTTAATTTCTCCTGCACAAAATTCAATTTTAAACCAGCAATATAATAGAGCCTACTAGGACGGGAGAAATACCATTGACCTCATCTTCACTATCAATGATGATCTGATAAGAAATTATAACCATATCAAAACATTATACTCAATCACAACATAATTGAGGTTCAGTCTATGTCTGCGCGGAGCCCCAGAACGACATATGGAGATTAGTAACGAGGGAGCATTCTCCAAATTAAACTTCAATAACAAAACATAAAGTGGGACAAGGTAACCAAGTCCTTAAACCGATATAAGCTGGTGAAGATATCTAAGCAACACTCAGATCCCAACTTATGCTAGAACAGATTAACTCGTAGCACTAGATGTCTGCACAAGCTTATTCCTCTGTAAGAAAAAGAGGAGTAGGATAGATTAAAACAGATAGAGACAGGCCGCTCCCTTTACAGGCGACGGGAAAAGAATTACAGAGCGGCTAAAAGAGGTCAATATATATGAAATGACGTAGGGAGACACTGGTCAGAGAAATAGCAAGCCATCGAACTCTAAGCTAAAGAATCCTTTAGGGAGTCCGGAAATCGCGGGAAGAAGAACTAAAAGAATAAATGGAAATCGAAAGAAACCCAAAGTATTTCTTCTCCTATGCCATATCAAATTCGAGATCAACGTACAGTATGGGGCCCTACTTAAACAAGATGGGTCATACACAGAGTAACATAGGAAATGAGGAGCTACTCAAGTCCCAATATGACTCAGGGTTTTTTAGCCAAGCGCTAACCAGGACTGAGAGTCCGAAGTCCCCCCCCCCCCCCCCCCCCCAAATGAATTTTTTATGAGATGAGACACAAATTTGATTATCACAAGCCTATCCGATTTATCCTGACGCAAATGACATTCGAACAGGCGATATAAATGACTTGCCCTTGCACTATGCCCCAGGGCCAGACTCATCGGAACTCTGTGCTCATCAAGAACTGCAAGAAGCCCCTTATCACGAGCCTTTTCCATCCTATGGAAGAGGAGCATGGACCTCGGGGGTAGTCCCCACAGTTACTAAAAAAAACAACAGACATAGCCCCACTCCACAAAGGGGGCTGTTTAAAGCATCAGCAAAGAATAAGACCAATAGCACTAATCATCCCTTATCATAAAAATCTTTGAAGGGTCTTAAGAAGCAAGATCACCACGCATCTAGAAACCCATCAGTTACACAACCAGGGCGCAACATGGGTTTAGAACAGGTCGCTCCTGTCTGTCTCAACTATTGGACCACTACGACAAGTTACTAAATGCCTCTAGAAGACAAAAGAATGCAGATGTAATATATACAGACTTTGCAAAAGCTTCGACAAGTGTGACCATGGGTATAGCGCACAAAAATGCGTGCCTAAAGATATAACAGGAAAAGTCCGGTTCGATGGATCTATAATTTCCTCACTAACAGAAACACAGAGAGTAGTCGTCAACAGAGTAAAGCGAGGCAGAGCTACGGTGGGAAAAGCTCGTTCACAAGGCACAAGTAACTTCGCTTCCCAATCTTGTTCATCTTCCTTATATCCGACATAGACAAGGATGTCAGCCACAGCAGTGTCTTCCTTTGCAGATGACACCCGACTCTGCATGACAGTGTCTTCCATTGCAGACACTGCAAAGCCTCCAGGCAGACATCAACCAAATCTTTCAGTGGGACTGCAGAAAACAATATGAAGTTCAACGATGAGAAATTTCAATTACTCAAGTTATGGTAAACATGAGGTTAATTAATATCTTCATCAGAGTACTAAAAACAAATTCTGGCCACAAATAGATGCGGAAAACCAAGTCAAGACCTGGGAGTGATCATGTCGGAGGATCCGACACCTTCAAGGACCATAACATTGTATCAATCGAATCTGCTAGAAAAATGACAGGAATGGATAATGAGGAACCTTCAAAACTAGGGGAGGCCAAGCCCATGATGACACTCTTCAGGTCACTTGTTCTATCTAGGCTGGAATATTGCTGCACACTAACAGCACCTTTCAAGGCATGGTGAAATTGCCGACTAGAAAATGTACAGAGAACTTTTCACGGCGCGCATAACGGAGATAAAACACCTCAATTATTGGGAGCGCTGAGGTTACCTAAACCTGTATTCCTGGGAAGATAGCAGGAAGGGAGAGATACAGGGATTATATAACACCTGGAAAATCCTAGAGGGACTTTGTACCGAACTTGCACACGAAAATCACCCACTACGGAAAGCCAAAAAAGACTTGGCAGACGATGCTACCATACCCCCAATGAAAAGCAAGGGGTTGTCCACTAGCACGTTAAGAGACCATACATAAGTGTCAGGGGCCCGAGACTGTTCAACTGCCTCCCGCACACATTAAGGGGGAATTACCAACAGACACTGGAGTCTCATTGGCACTGGACAAGCACCTAAAGGCAGTTCCGGATCAGCCGGGCTGTGGCTCGTATGTTGGTTTGCGTGCAGCCAGCAGCAACAGCCTGGTTGATCAGGCTCTGATCCAACAGGAGGCCTGTCTCAGACCGGGCCCCGCGGGGGGCGTTGAACCCCGGAACTCTCTCCAGGTAAAACTCCAGTAATAAGTCTAAGCGATTTTTCGACATTGGAATAACTGAACTGTGAAAACTTTTTTTTTTTTTTTTGGCTTCTGGTGGCAAGATGTACTAGACTCTAAGCTGCAGCTGACTGATAGTCTATATGCTTAAGAGTGACACCAAACGACCCCAGTGCGGGAGTAGGTCACTTCGACGTTTTTTTTTTTTTTTTTTTTTTTATTTTTTTTTTTTTTTTTTTTTTTTTTTTTTGAGGTTTCCTAGGTAATATTTACATGTGTATGATAACGGTACTTACATGTACCTGTACTTTAATAAAGTTAACGCCTGCAGAGCGATCGTACAGGTGGGGTGGTGGGCGGAGCCGTGGCCATCAGTGCGTGGCTGACATGATGATTGAGGCGTTTCATGGTTTCACTGCTGCTGGGTGCACTGTTAGTGCACCTGTATCCTTACACGGCGGATTGGCTTGCTGTAAGTGTCATTCTTTCCCTGAGTTGTTTTGCTACTTCTGATTAAATATGCATTCTGTGCACACACATACACCAGTGAAGAGGCGGGGCCAGGAGCTGTGAATCGACCCCAGCAACCATAATTAGGTGAGTGCACACACTTGCGATACTGGAGGACAAGAGGGATAGGGGGGACATGATAACGACATAAATTAGTGAGAGGAATTGACAAAGTGGATAGGGACAGGATGCTTCAGTGATGGCACACAGCAACAAGGGGTCACAACTGGAAGTTGAAAACTCAGATGAGTCACAAGGTGTTAGGAAGTATTTCTTCAGTCAAAGAGTTATCAGGAAGCGGAACCATCTGGAGAGTGTTGTAGTGGAGGTAGGATCCATACATGGCTTTAAGAAAAGATACGATAAAGCTCATGGTGCAGGGAGAGAGTGAATCTAATAGCGACCAGTGAAGAGGCGGGGCCAGGAGCTGTAAATCGACCCCTGCGACCACAAATAGGCGAGTTCAAATGAGTACACATACACAGGCCCATACTGGAGTATGCAGCACCAAAAATGGTACTCAGTAGTCCTGAGTTATAGTGGAAAATCCTAGAGGGACTTGTACCGAACTTGACACGAAAATCACTCACTACGAAAGCAAAAGACTTGGCAGACGATGCAACATCCCCCCAATTAAAAGCAGGGGTGTCACTAGCACGTTAAAAGGACCATACAATAAGTGTCAGGGGCCCGAGACTGTTCAACTGCCTCCCAGCATACATAAGGGGGATTACCAAGACCCCTGGCAGTCTTCAAGCTGGCAACTGGACAAGCACCTAAAGTCGGTTCTGACCAGCCGGCTGTGGCTCGTACGTTGGTTTGCGTGCGGGCCCAGCAGCAACAGCCTGGTTGATTCAGGCTCTGATCCACCAGGAGGCCTGGCACAGACCGGGCCGCGGGGGCGTTGACCCCCGGAAACTCTCTCCAGGTAAACTCCAGGTATGTCCTATGAGGAGAGATCAAGGAAACTAAACCGATTACATTAGATGAAAGAAGGACTTGGGTGATAAGCACTACAAAATACTGAAAAGAATTGATAGGATGGAGAGGGGCAGATTGTTCGAGAGATGGAAAACAGGAACATCAGGGCACAGCTGGAGGTTGAAAATACAGATGAGTCAGGGATATCGGATGTATTTCTTCAGTCTTAGAGCACTCAAGAGGAGGAAGCGACCTGGGTAGCAGAGGGGGTTGGGGCAGGATCCATACATAGCTTTAACATGAGGTACGATAAGGCTTTCGAACCCGGGGAGAGAGTGACTGTAGTACCGACTATGAAGAGGCGGGGCCAGGGCCGAGACTCGATAAACTGCAATCATTATATGTGATTTACACACACTCCCCTAAGAACAAACTCAGAGTTTACTACATGTTTACAGCCGGTGTTACGGAGGCGTGCGGGCGTGGGGGACACAGCTGGGGTGGGCCCTGTCTACGGGGTGGCGGGCGTGAGGGCGGCCTTGCAGGTGTTTTTGGGCATGGCTGCGGTGGCCAGCGATAACTGGTTCTTTTGGATACAGGTGAGCGTGATGGTGGTGATTGTTATGATGGCGGTGATTGTGGTAGTTGTAATGGGGCTGTGTTAGTTGCTGTGGACTGTGGTAGTTGTTTTATGGTAGTTGGAATTGTGACAACTGAAATGTTTGTGGTATTGTAGTGATTGTGGTACTTGCAGTGATTGTAGTTGTAGTGATTGTTATGGCATTTGTAGTTATTACAGTTATGATTGTGGTTGTTATAGAGTTATTGTAGTAGGTGTAGTGATTGTGTTAGTTGTAGTGATGAGTGTGCTAGTTGTTAATAATTGGGTAGATGCTGTGATTGTGGTAGCTGTTGTGATTTTGGTACTTGGTAAGATTGTTGTGGTAATTCTAATGATTGTTTTGAATCTGGTAGTTGTGGACTGTTTTAGTTGTAGTGATTGTGGGGAGTTTGTAGCAGTTATAATTTATTGTTTTAATTGTAGTGGTTGTGGTAGTTATAGTGGCATTGCGGGGGTCAACGACCCGTCCATAACCAGGCCTCGTGGTGGATCAGGGGCTGGACTAAAAAGGCTATTACTTCCGGTCGTACGCAAAACCAACCCTACGAACCACAGCCCGGCTGGTCAGGCACTTAAAGTGCCTGTCCAGCTCCCTCTTGAAGACAGCCCGGGGTCTATTGGTAATCCCCCTTATGTATGTTGGGAGGGGAGTTGAACAGTTTTGGGCCCCTGACACTTATTGTGTTGTCTTAGTGTACTTATGGCGCTCCTGCTTTTCATTGAAGGATGCTTCTCCGCTTGCTGAGCCTTTTGGAGTGATTCCAGTAACTGAGAAATTGGCTATAACTATGGGCCATAATTTTTAAAAGGGTGACCGGTAAGCCGTGGAAAGCCTCGGTCAAATGACCAAAAGCACATCGGTGGGTCATCAGTTGACTAAGACCCGCGTTAGGAACACTTCCTGTTTGCTGACAACCTTACCTAACATAACTGAGGTGCTATACTGCACTTATACGTAATGAAAAGTGTTATGCCTTTTGTCAGGTGTGGGGTTCGAACCCCGCACTCTTGCGAGTACCAGAGCTTAAATCTGGCGCCTTAGACCACTCGGCCACCTGACAGGTAGGAGTTTAGTAGTAGTTGTAGTGGTGGTTATTAGTGGTTGTGGTTATGTTATTAGTGGGTGTGATGGTGATGTTATTAGTTGGGGTTTTTGGTGGTGATTATATTATTGGTTGTGGTGATAATTACATTAGCGGTTGTAATGGGGGTGGCGATTGTGTTATTAGTATGATTGTGGTTTTAGTGGTTGTGATGGTGAAATAAATAAAAGACCAATGGAAATATAGTCCGGTGTCTGACTTTTTTGGTTATCGCAGGTTCTCTACACACATGCTACTGTGTATGATAATCATGTAAAATGTATTTGTGTATACCTGAATAACCTTACTTACTTATTGTGGTATTAATGGTTGGGATAGTTGTGGTGATTGTGGTATTAATGGTTGTAATGGTGGTGACTGAGGTAGTCGTGATGATGGATGACTGTAAATGAGGTGATGTGATTAATAGTGATTTTAGTAGTCGTTGTAATTGTGATTCTAGAAGTTGTGATTGTTGTGACTGTGGTGATAATGGCTTTTTGATTATAACGTGGATGGTGATTGTTGTGGAAGTTGTAATGATTGTTGTGATGATTTTGGCAGTAATAGTGGGTATGGCGGTGATTGTGACTGTACAGTGGGTATGACGGTGATTGTGGCTGTACAGTGGGTATGACGGTGATTGTGGCTGTACAGTGGGTATGACGGTGATTGTGGCTGTACAGTGGGTATGGCGGTGATTGTGACTGTACAGTGGGTATGACGGTGATTGTGGCTGTACAGTGGGTATGACGGTGATTGTGGCTGTACAGTGGGTATGGCGGTGATTGTGACTGTACAGTGGGTATGACTGTGATTGTGGCTGTACAGTGGGTATGACGGTGATTGTGGCTGTACAGTGGGTATGACGGTGATTGTGGCTGTACAGTGGGTATGACGGTGATTGCAGTAGCGATGATCGCATTAGTATTGGTGATTGTAATAGTGATAGCCACTGTAGTGGTGATTTTGGTAGGGGTGGTGATTGTGGTAGTGGTGCAAATTGTAGTAGTGGAGTAATTGCTGGTGGTGTTAATTTTTAGTGATGATTATGGTGGTGACTGGATGGTAACTGTGGCTCCAACAGCAATGGTGATTGTTTTGGTGGTGATTATAGTGATGTGTGCTTGTGATTGTGTTGGTGGTGATCGTGTTAGTAGTAATGACTGTGATAGTTAAAACAGTATTGACCTGTGTTGAAGATTAAGACACATGTGCAACAGTTGGGTATCTTTATTGATGGAACGTTTCGCTTACACAGTAGGCTTCTTCAGTCATTGAAGTAAAGATGATGTAATCAGTCCATCAACCTTAGAGAAAAAGTATTTGAGGTGGTCAGTCCCTCAGCCAGCTCCGTGGTCTGGAACGATATCGTTCCAGACCACGGAGCTGAACTCTTCTGAGATCGAAAGTATGTCCATGGGTACTATGTGCAGCATTCTTTATAATTAACTGAATTATTAAAACATTATCTCCTTGTGTGTGTGTGTGTGTGTGTATGTATGTATGTATGTATGTGTGTGCGTGCGTACGCGCTCGCGAGCAGTGTGTATGTAATCTTCCCGGGGATGTCACCAAGGCGGAACAGCGAGGCACATTTGGAGGTGATGAGCTACCTGCCGGTGCTTGAGGGCCCTGGTCGGACAGCATCACAGCAGGCAGCCTACCAGCTGGCAGCACTCCTGGCCCTCATTCTCATTGCTCTGTTGGGCGGAGCTCTCACAGGTGTGTTCTGCTGCCCTCCTCAATATCCGTTTTTTTTATTGTAGTTGCGCCAGAAGTTCAGCTCAGACCTTACAACAACAATTGTCATCAAAGATTTGTTAAGTTATACCATGAATTAGGGAAAGGTCGCATGTGATATCGGTGAAGTACGTGATATTCGATATCATTTGTTGGTCAGGGGTAATACGGGATGTCCTGTTGTGCTCTCTTCGACTACAGTGTTTCTCAGTGTTGTGCTACGGGTGGCTGTAGCCTGTAATCTAGTTCGTACCTCTCCTCCTGCTACAGATTCCTCTGGTGTCTACTTCATGCTCCTCTTGTCCTCTCCAACACTTTGGAGAGACTGGCCGCACTCTTTATGACAGACTCAAAGAACACACACAAAAAAAGTGTTAGGCTTACCGACACCAATAATGCTCTTGTGACATGTTAGAGATCAGTCATCTTACTGATTCGTCCTCTGCTAAAATTGTCTACCCTACTTCTAGCCTTCACATTCGCCGTCTTATTGAAGCATCATTTGTATGAATCTCAGTCGTAGCTTTGTTTCTGTAGATGCCTTCCTTTCTCATTACATGGTCAAATGCTCCAAACTTCAGAACACTCGTGACTTGACCTGATCCTTTCTTCTTCTTTCACTACCTCTTCTCGTTTCCTATTTTTTCCGTTTTCTTTGTTTTCCTTTCTTCCTAAATGTGTTCTGTCCATTTTTTGGGGCCCTTAGTTCTCCTGCAGTGTTCCCTTTTCTTGTCCTTAGACTGACCCTCACTTCTACTACTACTACTGCCACTACCACTCCATTTCTACTACTATTGCTACTACCATTACTATTGCCTCCCTTTATTCCCCTTTCTTGTGCCACTAAACTACTCTCCCCACTTTCTACTACCACTGTTACTTCTGCTACCACTTTCATTATCAGCCTTACCACTGTAACTACTTTTCTTCCTCTCTTGGTCCTGCCCTTGTCCCCCTCGCCTCTACATACCGCCTCTCTCACTCTTGTGTTAGAGACGGGTCATCACAGGACTAAGACCCGTGCTAGGAACCCGGTCTTGGCGAACATTGTTCAAACATATTTTGTGTTAGTGTAAACTTTGTAAATAGTCCAGATTGGACCAAAACGTCGTCGTAGGGTTTTCTCTGTGTGCGGGTTATTTGTGTATTGTTCCAGTTACGGTATTGTGCCTTTTTGTTCTTCATACAAATTATTTGATAATAAATACACAAACTTGAAGTAATTCTCAAACTAAATCAAAACAGCGAGAAAGTAAAAAATAAATTGGGAAAGTGAATCAAAGCTAGGAAAGGCAAATATACAAGAGTGACATAGCTATGAATCCGCTCATGACGGTGCAGACACACGTTGATTCACAGTAGCCAAAGGTGACGTGAATAACCCTTTCAGAGATGAGTAGAAGACGGCCACCACCAGACACCATAAACAAACACCAGTTGTATAAAAAGGCAAGACTCCTTAACGAGAGGTGCACAGAAATCAACACCATGAGTAGTTAAGCAAACAGGTTTAACTGAACCGTGATACGAAGCAGCGAACCAGGCTGGCAGGTTGTTATAAGAGAGAAGTAACATAGACAACTCACAGAATGATTCAGGTCCGTACATACGTGGTAGCCTTTTCAGAAAAGATGAAGGAAGGGTAGATTAAATCCACGACTTTCTGACAAAAGTCTGCAGCCCATGTGATCGATCCCTCGTATCTCCACTGGGCCACTCAAAACACTAGAGCTATGGAAGCGACGCAGTTAGTTGAATTTGTTTATTATGCACACCATACCCATCCTGTGGGCGGTAGTCAAAAGATTACAGAGGTACATAATGGGTCCAGGGACTGGGCCTCAAAGTTTTGATGGATGAGCAAGTTACAGAGGTAATGAATTCACAATTTACAAAGGTAATGAACTCACAATTTACAAAGGTAATGAACTCCAGGTAGGTCTAGTCACAATCATGACAAGTTACAAATGTATTAACAGATTATAGAGGTACGTAATGGGTCCAAGGACTGGGCCCCAAAGTTTTGATGGCTGAAGTAGGTACAAGGTAATGAACTCACAAGTTACAAAGGTAATGAATACTGTAAGAATGGTTACTTACGTTTATACATGGCTACAATCATGAACAAATTTTAGAGTAATGAGCATTTCACACTTCCACACCCAGTCACAACTGTAGTGAGTTATTGGTGCAAATATTGATTGTTGAGTCACACACACACACACACATACACACACACACACACACACACATACACACATACACAAACTCATACACACACACACACACACACACTCATACACACACACACACACACATACACATACACGCACACACAAACACACACACAAACACACACACAAACACACACACAAACACACGCACACACACACACAGGAGCTTGGACTCGACCCCTGCAATCTCAACTCGCATACACAGTGGTTGCAAACATGACAAATGGTCCACTCACTCATTAGGTTGAAGGCTTTAAAAAACTGGTGAAAGAATCAAACAAATCGCCTTTAATCCCACAAAGCATGACGGGTAATAACTGTAAAAATAAGACATAATAATTATTCAGAGGAATGAATACTTCGTCAGAGAGGTAGGTAGCAAAGTGACTTCTTGAGAGTACCCAGCGCCACACATCACCTACCCCTCTAGAGAGTAGTGTGATAAGAGGCAGGTAGGTGTTAGTTTAATGTTTATTGTGCACACCATACCCATGGTGTGGACGGTAGTCAAAAGATTACAGAGGTACATAATGGGTCCAGGGACTGACCCCAGTTACATTGTTCTCTCCCGGGCGCTGTCAGTTTGTTGAATAAATATTTAGTACAACAGTTAGTCGCTTTTATTTAACTTTTAATTGTAATGGAAATGCGTACAACAGTTTTACGGCGTTAAAGAGAAGAATTTAACAATGTAAATGAGTGTGATGGGAAAAATTTTCTTATACGTTCGTGTCGTGTCACAAATGTGACACGACCTATGACTGCTGCACCTCTCCTGCCATACGGTTTATAAGCTGCCTCTCCGCTGATATGCCGCATTCTATTCAAGATTGATGGACTGAACACATCGACTCAAGGTTGAGGGACTGATTACCTCATTCTCCTCCTGTTCTTCAAGTTTCTCCTACGTACGGACTGATGAAGCCACCGTGTGGCGAAACGTTTCCACAATAAAGATACCCAAGAGTTGCACATGTGTCTAATTTATCAACATGTCGGTTCTCTGAACCATTCATCTACAAATCTATAAATGCAGGTCGGTGGTGATGGCACCTGCATTCCTCTTTATTAATTGATTTATGCACACAAACCATCCACATGTCATGCATACATACTTGCACACAAATTTACAAACTTATAAGAAAACTTTTCCCATCACGCTCATTTACATTGTTAAATTCTCTTTAACGCCGTAAAACTGTGTTGTATACATTTCCATTACAATTAAAAGTTAAATAAAAGCGATTAACTGTTATACTAAACAATTATTAAACAAACTGACGGCACCCGGGAGAGAGAGAACAATTTAACAACATAAATGGAGGACTAAAAAAAATGTAATCGGAATTTTACCACTTAAACTTGGACAATATTTATGTTTTTCATTTTCATTTCTTCAGGATATACTACTTATTTTACTAATATTATCAAGCCCCCCTCCCCTCCCCTTCCCCTCCCCTTCCCCCTCCCCTCCCCTCCCCTTCCCCTCCCCTCCCCTCCCCTTCCCCCTCCAATCTCTCCTGCTTCCTTCTTCACATTAATTATTTTCCTTTGAATGCCTCGTTATTTATTATGTTTTTCTAGTGTATAATCAGTTTAATTTATAATATAAACTTTTTCGTGTATTTTATCTGTTAAGTCTAGTCTTTTTCAATTACTCTTGCCATATTTGTATACAAGTTTTTTTTTATATGTTCACACGTATATTTTTTTTTCCCCCATTTTTTTTTATTTTTCGTTTTTATTGTGTTGGCAGGACTGGCACTCCGTCTGCCTGTGTGTGAAAGACTGACTCAGGATGATCTCTATAACGATGCTTCTTACTGGCAGCTTCCACAGCCCTCCCCAGGCTCTTGTCATGCCCATACCCACGCCAGTACACATGCCCAAAAATTGACTCCATCACCACAATTGAAATAAACTTAAAAACTACATAGTAAATTTTATATATATATATATAATATATATATATATATATATATATATATATATATATATATATATATATATATATATATTATAAATAATAGAATCACAGTAAACAGGTGATTTCAGAATATGCAAAACAACCACTCTGAAAGAATAGAATATAATATATATATATATATATATATATATATATATATATATATATTATATATATATTATATATATATATATATATATATATACTATTGACTGATTTAGTGGCATTAGTTTAATAGCTATTATACACCCCCGCCCCCATACTTATCCTGTGGGTGGTAGTCAGAAGATTACAGCACATCATTGGTCCAGAGACAGGGCCGGAAAGTTTTGATAACTAAACAAGTTACATTGGTAATGAACTATTTACATGTTTATATCTGGTAACGATGGTAATGAGTTATTTATGCATTGACATTACTGCTGTTAGAGACATATATCTTGTAGCTCATCCAGCACATCAAGTCAGGCAGTGGTTGCTTTTTTAATTGTTGCTATTTGCTTACTATGCAACATACGTTTACATATATATGCAAAACAATCACGGGGGAAGTTGAATGATAGTTCTAGGCCTTTCACGTTGCAATCAACACATCACGAGCTTGCAATGTTGCAAAAAGAAAAGGAAGTCCAAGCTTTTTTGCTCATTTTGAGCAAAGACGCTTCCTCTGAACATATTTGCCCGGACTTCCGCCTCTTCTCTGCAACAATGCAAGCTACTGATATGTTGATTGCAACACGTTCAATGTTTCTACCCACGCCAAGAATAGAAGAAATTAAGTGTTGAAATTGACAGGTACAATACTGAATTAACTCACACACATATTTGGGCAGAACTCTGGCACATCAAAAAACTGAATAGACTTACTGGTACTGATGTACCGCGGAGACAAGTGGGAGTTAAGCACCACTGAGTCACATCACTGTCGCTCCTTCGATGCCCACCTTCTCAGCTACCCAAAACTCACACTGTCTGGACCTTAAATTAGGAACATATTTTCCTGAACAATTACTAGAAAAAATTAAGCCATAACACTGGCAAATTATGTGTGGACTGTATAAAATTATTATTGAATGTTATAATTATTACAACATTAAAATTATTACACTTACCCAGCTATTCCTTGGGCTTTACATCCTAACTCCTCCCAAACGATAGGCACTAACTACAGCAAGTCACTGTGCAGGTCTAGTTCCTAAGTCCCTGCTAGATGTCAGTTGTCGGGGTAGGGTCACCCGGGGCTGAGTCGGCCTCGACTCCCGCTGCACCTGCTGTTCGCATCTACCCCCGGAGACTGGTCTGGCTTCCCTTTATCTCTTCCCGTGTACAAGAACCTGTAAATACATATATACGCCTTCAGTGTTCGTGAGTTTCCTTCCATCTCTCAAGATACCTTGCCAGCTGCCTCGTAACACAAGATTACAAAATTATAAAAAAAATCCACATTGTGGCTGGGCGTAGGTCGTTGTACACGACTTAAAATCACTCCTTCTTTTATGAGTCTATATGCTGTATAGCCCTTGTGGCTTAGCGCTTCTTTTTTATTATAATAATATGAGTATTCCAGCCAACTTGAGCATGGGATGATTATTATTATTATTATTAAAGATTCGCCGGTATTCTCCCGGCCCGGGCCTTTTCCAAGTGGTGGCCCGGCCCATGGGATGATGTTCTCCTAGCAGACCTTATTTCACCTTCAACTACTGAACTCCTGCTTAGACATGAAAGAACTTATACAGATGACAGCAAAGAAATGTGTGAGATACTAAAGTCCCAATAAGACTCAGTGTTTAGTAAACCATTAACTGGACTAAGAGTAGAAAATCTACTCTTAGACCAAATTTTGACCCAAAATTTGGTCAATCCAAAAATTTCTGATATTATCCTAACACCACAAGACTTTGAAAAAGCAATAAATGATATGTCCATGCACTCGGCCCCAGGCCCATACTCGTGGAACTCAGTGTTCATCAAAAACTACAAGAATCCCATTTCGCGTCCCTTCTGCATTTTATGGAGAGGGAGCATGTACACAGGGGTCATCCCACAGTCACTAAAAATAACAGACATAGCCTCCCTCCTCAAAGGTGGCAGTAAAGCAATTACAAAGAATTACAGACCGATAACACTAACATCCCATATCAAAAATCTTAGCAAGGGGTCTAGAAGCAAGATCGCCATCCATCTAGATACCCATCAGTTAAACAACCCAGGGTAATATGGGTTGAGAGCAGGCTGCTCCTGCCTGTTCCAACTACTGGACCACTATGACAAGGTCTTAGAATCTTAGACTTAGATGCACTGGAGGAGGAACAAAATGCAGAGAACATATTCGATAACTTTTTGACTGACCACTAGTTACAAGTGAGAAACCATACCCCGGCCGGGATTGAACCCGCGGTCAGAGAGTCTCAGAACTCCAGACCGTCGCGTTAGCCACTAGAGTGAGAAGGAATGGATTTGAGTGGGACCTGCCCCCTCGGTGATTACGTTCTTACTTCTACTAGTGGGCACCGTCTCTCTTGTCAAGGTTATATGGGCCTCGCCTTTGACAGTATATAAGTCTCCTTACTGTTGTCCTCCATCGAAGACACCGCAAGACTCCAAGCGGACATCAACCAAATCTTTAAATGGGCCACTCAAAACAATATGAAGTTCAATGAAGAGGAAGTTCAACTACTCAGACCCCTCAAGGAAGGTTCCTTGATGTTGGTGAGGGGCTCTTGATATAGGGAATTGGATCTGTGCTCCAGTTCCCCGAATTAAGCCTGAATGCCTTCCACATCCTCCCCCAGGCGCTGTATAATCCTCCGGGTTTAGCGCTTCCCCCTTGATTATAATAATAATCAACTGCTCAGATATGGAAAACTTTAGGAAATTAAAACTGTATCAGGGTATACAATAAATTCTAACCATGCAGTAGAGCGAGAAAGCAATGTGAATGGCCTGGGAGAGATAATGTCAGAGGATCGCACTTTCTACCGCATATGCTAGAAAAATGATAGAATGGATAATAAGAACCTTCAAAACTAGGGACGCCAAGCCCATGATGATTCTCTTCAAATCGCTTGTTCTCTCGAACCTGGAATACTGCTGTACACTAACTGCCCCCTTCCATGTAGGCAAAATTGCTGACCTGGAGAGTACAAAGAACGTTCACGGCACACATGAGTACGATAAAGCACCTAAATTACTGGAAACGGTTGAAGTCCCTTTAGTTGTACTCCCTGGAACACAGGCGAGAAAGATACATGATAATCTACACTTGAAAACCCTAGAGGGATTAGTAAGAAACTTTCACACGAAAACCACTTCCTATGAAAGCAAAAGACTCGGCAGGAGATGTAACATTCCCCCAATGAAAAGCAGGGGCGCCACGAGCACACAGACAACACAGTAAGTGTCGGGGGCCCAAAACTGTTCAGCTGCCTCTCAGTATATATAAGAGGGATTACCAATAAACCCCTGGCTGTCTTCAAGAAGGTACTGGACAGGCACCTATAGTCAGTACCTGACCAGCCGGGCTGTGGTTCGTACGTCAATTTGCGTGCGGCCAACAGTAACAGCCCGGTTGATCAGACCCTGATCCACCACGAGGCTTAGTCTGAGACCGGCCCGCGGGGGCGTTGATCCCCGAAACCCTCTCCGAGTGTACTCTAGTATACACAGACTTTGCGAAAGACTTCGACAAGTGCGACCATTGTGTAATGCACAAAATGCGTGACAAATGAATAACAGGAAAAGTTGTTTGATGGATCTAGAACTTCTTAATAGAACACAGAGAGTAATAGTAAACAGAGTAAAGTCTGAGGCGGCTACAATGAAAAGCTCTGTTCCACATGGCACTGTATTTGCCTTCATCCTGGTTCTTATCCTCGTATCTGACATAGACAGGAATGTAAGCCATAGCACCGTGTCTTCCTTAGCAGATGACACCCGAGTTTGCATAATGGTGTCCTCGATCGAAGACACTTAAGACTGCAAGTGGACATAACCAAATATTTAAATGGGCTGAATTATTATTATTATAATCAAGGGGGAAGCGCTAAACCCGTAGGATTATACAGCGCCTGTGGGGGGATGTGGAAGGTATTCAGGCTTAATTCAGGAAACTGGAGCACAGATCCAATTACCTGAATCAAGAGCCCCTCACCAGCATCAAGGAGCCTTCCTTGAGGGGAATGGGCTGAAGAAAACATGAAGTTCAATGAAGAGAAATTTCACTTACTCAGATATGGAAAACTCGAGGAAATTAAAACCATATCGGAGTATAAAACAAATTTCAGCCACACAATAGAGGGAAAAACTAATGTGGGAGTGATAATGTCAGAGGATCTCACTTTCAAAGATCACAACAACGTTTCTATCACATCTGCTAAGAAAATGATAGGATGGATAATGAGAACCTTCAAAATCAGAGATGCCAAGTCCATGTTGGTTCTCTTCAAAGAGCTTGTTATCTCTAGGCTGGAATATTGCTGTACACTAACTGCCTCTTTCAAGGCAGGCGAAATTGCAGATCTGCAGAATATACAAAGAACTTTCACGGCACGCATACCTGAAGAGGGTTCCGTAGGTCAACACCCCTGCATCCTGGACTGTGACCAGGCTTGAAGTGGATCAGGGCCTGATCAACCAGGCTGTTACTGCTGGCTGCACATAGACTGACGTACGAACCACAGCCCGGTTGGTCAGGTACTGACTTTAGGTGCCTGTCCAGCACCTTCTTGAAGACAGCCAGGGGTCTATTGGTAATCTCCCTTATGTATGTTGGGAGACAGTTAAACGGTGTTGGGCCCCTGACACTTTTTTGAGTAGTCTCTTACCTGGAGAGGGTTTCGGGGGTCACAGGCCGTGCCCCCACGGCACGGCCTGTGACCAGGTCTCATGGTGGATAAGGGCCTGATCAACCAGGCTGTTACTGTTGACTGCACGCAACCCGACGTACGAACCAGCCCAGTTGGTC